TATATATATATATATATATAATGACTGATGAAAGTAACGTATATTAATAAAAATAGGACTGAAATTTTTGAGAATTTATATGAAAGAAATAGAAATATATGAGTGGGAGCCATTTAACTGATGTAAATGAGTAAAGGCATCAATCAAAACAATCACAAGGATTGTTTTCCTGTCATTTTTTTCTCATTTGTTTTCTTTACTTTTTCCACCTGGATATTTTGCGAAATCCGCCTGTACTTAATTATTCTGAAATTTTTGTGTGATTAACGAGAATCAACAGAATGTTAGGTGAATGACATGTGAAACAATATAAATACTAGAAAAATATTGTCGATCATCCTTAGATTATTGTTCAGTTTAAAAAAAGTGACACATTAGTGAGATGTTTTCTAATATCTCAACAATAATCCATTCATTTTTTTGCTCAATATAACTGCTTTGTTTTTATTTAAAAATTGGAATCTGTATGTTTGAATTCAAGAACTTGCCAGCGCATTCTGTTTGTTGTGAGATTAGTAAGAATTACTAGGGAAATAATTTGTGATTTCTTGATGATACAAATAATTTTTATGCTACACAGTATGCACAAAAAAATTTACCCCACTTTGGCATTTTGGTACTCCCAAACCTGATCAAATTAAAGAGCCAAATAAATCGCACTGAATCAAGCAGTGAAGAGTGCGATATAAAAAAGACTTTACTTTCATTAGAAAGCGTATAGAACTTCGGGTAGGCTTCTTTCAGTGTCGCTTGCAGTTTTCATGTGTTTCCATCTCAACGGCACATTAGTAAGATTTTTTCTGGTACTGCAACAATAATTCATTCATTTATTCGTTGAATGTCGTATGACAAGAAAATTGCTTGAAGTTATTGTCATTTTCATTTTTTCTTTTATTTGAAGTGAATAATTCAAGATATGATAAGACAAGAAAAAGAGTTTCCAGTGACCAAAACTAGTATCAGTGAAAGTAACAGTCATGAAGAATTTTAAAGCTGCTCTTGCATTCATCCATTAGTAAATGCACACACACGAGTGAATGTATGCACTGTTTGCAGAACTCGCCACAACATAAGATTAAATGAGAAGAAAAAAGATCATTTACATTTGCATTAATTATTAGTGTCACAAAGGTAGAAAAAGTCACAATGTGATTTGTTTTATACAATAGTATGCTGTTGATTTTTTGACCTCTTATTGTTCATATTTTCCCTTTATTGAACATTTTTCTTACATTAGAACGAAACACATTTAGAAGTATTTTTCTTTTTGTTTCTGTTTTCCTAGTTTTTGAATAATATATTTTTTCGCATAACTTGTTTCAAAAACATTTCGATCTATTCAATTCATGTTGTTTTATTAAAAGTCTTGAGTATGATATACAGTAGAAACAATAACACCCAAGTTCTCGTTTTGCTAAAGATCAGTGCTGTGCAAAACTGATTAATGATTACTGTAGCACAGCAATTAGAATTAGTAAAAAGTAATACTATGCAAAAGTAAAAATCTTCCAGATACAACATAGTAGTTTTCGAGAAAAGCTGAAAAACATATCAGGAGAACAAATTTTTAACTTTTCTATTCTTACTTGAAAAATTACTCTTGAAACTTTTCATTGAACTATTTAATGATACCAGTTTACTTTCAGATAATTATATGAAATACTTCTTGTGTTATAGTTTTGTAAATAAAGGTCCAACTTTTTCATTGTTCAACTCTTTGTTTGATTGCAACGAGTAATTTTTTCATAATTATGATACAAGATAGTAAACTTATGAAAATTATTAACGAAACCATAAGTTGGAAGTGCAGATCAACAATACGGTAATTAAGAAATAAAGGCGACTAGTTAATCTGTCTGACTGATCGTCGCTTGCACCAATTTAAGGATTTTAAATTTCTCATTTTACTACAGCTGCGAAGTTTTTGAATAGTCACAGATGATCAGAATGTATCGAGTGTTACTCAAAACTGCTGCCACCGTAGTGCTTGTTGTTATCGGTCAGTTTTTAATATTACTTATACGTTTCGAAACAATGTAAAAGAAGATTTTGTGTATTCCTCCTGTTCACATAATCTGTACCACACATGAATTTTCAGTTCAAGAAAATTCAAGTAAGCAACAAATTGTTTGCAGTAACTGCCAAAATTTTCAGCTCAATATAGCGTGCTTGGTATCGTAACCAACAAGCGACGATCATTAACAGTGAATGCGTATGAAGATTTGAATGGTGCAACAAGAAAAGCACCTAAAACTGAGTATGGCAAATCGAGAAAAGTTGAGGAATCCTGGAATATCAAACATTTCCTGAAGAGTGATCAATCGGTAACGAAACAAGATTCGTTATCATCTCCATTAACAGAGTCACTAAAGGATGCAAATTCACGCAATGCTAAAATAACTGTTGTGGGAAAATCCGTTACATTACCACGTCCTAAAATAACTCTTCCATCAGCTCTTTCATTAGACGGATTAGCAACCCAAAAGAAAGAAAGCAAAAATGGCAATAGTCGAATTTTTGCCTCTGTTTTGGCTTCAGGCATTTCCCGAGTTTGTTATATACTTATATTTTTATTTGTTATTTACTTATTATATTTGGTGTGATTTGCTGCTAGAAACGGAATTTAGCCAATTTCAGTAATTAAAATATTTTAGACAAGAAACTTAACAATTATAGGAACTAGGTGATTTCTTATCATCGCACTAAATCTTAAACTATTACATTGAAAATCTTTCTGTCCATTATTTCCAATACTTGAATTGTCTGCTGTAAATGATTTATTTCAGAAAAAACTTCACCCAATACATCAGTATAATTTGGATCTTTTAACAAATAATCACTTAAGTTATTTCTTGCTCAAGTATTCAAAGTCAGCAATCGATTCTCGAGCTCGGAAAGTTCGTTATTTCTTCCTCAATTCTTTGTCAACAAATTATCTACTTGATGAACCGTATCACTAGTTTTCTTAAAAATTAATCTTTTTAGATAAAACTTTTGTACTTTTAATATTTCAGGCATCAAAAAATGGCTTTTTTACAGAGACTGTACTCATCTCGAAATGAAATGATTGCTAGACTTCGTCATTTGATTCATATACGTGAAATGAAAGGACTAAGTACAACAACACTGCGATTATTGTTAACAGCTAGCAGCAATAAAACCAAAAAACAACCTTATGATTCATTAAAACTCGTCACTATAAAACGTTCACCAAAGCAGAAAAGTTAATGGGGAAATTGATGAAGTACGTTCAGTCTTTCGTCGCATAAATAATTTGATCGCTTTTTGGAAATTCATGAACTTCTAAATTTACTCGACTACTGTGCAAGTGGATCCATTAAAAATTAAGCCAAAATGATTTAAATACAAAATAACTGCAAAATGTCAAACTATTATAATTACGTTTCCCAGTGATGGTGTAAACCACATAACGCACTTTTCACTATTGATTTGATGGATCAAAAATCAAAATTTGAAGAATCGAAATTTGTGAGGCAAATTTTCATCATTTTCTTAAACATGATTCACTTGCTTTTTCAATTCACTGGCTCATAATTGTGAAGAAAAATTTTAAGATAATAATCAAGTGTTGAAAATCACATTAAAACAAAAAATAAAACCAGTTTTTCAATATATAAACTGATACGCCCTGAAATTTATATTACTAGCTATTTTTTTAGTTTTTCTTATTACTTTCAGAAAAATCTCAAGGAAGCAAAGAAAATTGTTGTCTGAAGCAAACAGAAGCCTTTTACAAATTAATAATCTGCTTAAGTTTTTGAAATTTAATATTCTTGAATGATTAGTCCCAGAGCTAGATTAAGGTATAACAATTTTCATTGCAGATTGTTTAAATATTTTATTTCAGACAACTAATTTATGTTGCCAAGTTTATTTGTATTTTCATTTTAAATCATGTAAGCTTGCGCATTTCTGATGAAAATGATTGTCTTATCAATTCCTTTTATTGCAATGTTTTGAACGCTTTCTTGTTTAGAAAAATGAATGAGTAGATTCGTGATATTATATATACGGAAATGTCTACTTTTTAGTCAAAATAAAATCAATGGAATCATATGGAATTTATTTCACTCCAGCAAATAAGTGTAGCAAGCAGTTGCAACAGAAATTCTCACAGCATAAATGAACTGCATCTTTCATTTATTTTCTTGGCTTTGTGCATGTAAAATTTCCCATAATTTGCCTTTATATTTAGATTTCAATAGAATTCACAAAGTAATAAATTCATTTTATAACATGCTATTACTGTTCAACATCAGCTACACATTTACATAATGACTACCAGCTCTGCCAGAAATAAATGGTAAGGATTAGAATACTTGAATGAGCAACACAATTCCGTTAATCATTGGGACTGGAGAAAATTTTGACTGTATTATCCAATAAAAAATCTTTTTTTATCCCGTTTAGCAAAGTAAACATAGTAATCTGAAGTTTACTTCTCTGGAAACAAACTTTATAAGTAACAAGATCAATAGCAACTGGAATCAAATTTCAAAAATTGGAAAAAGTAGTTCTAATATTAGAAGTATTAGACATGAGTCAAATTCATCTGCGACCATACATGGCAATGGAAATGGCTGAAAATGAAAGCATTAATCATAAATATTGCAGTCGCATAAATTCCTGGGCAAACGAACTTCATGGATTAACTCAGATGTTTATGGTTTGCAAGTTTGTTTGCTGCTTTTTTTATTTTTTAATTTATGCAAAATTGTTTGGGGAGACAAGTTTTTCGAGTAGTTATTTTTCCCGAAATTTTTAAATTCAATCTATTTTTGACTAATTAATCTTTTGAGGCGCGCACATGGAAAGAGCGTGGTTTCTGGCTTTTTGTCATTATCATTTGTCTTTTCGGTGCATCTTTCAACACAATTGATGTTATGAATGAATATTTGGAAAAGCAAACATCAACTTTGTACATTATTCGACAAGTAATAGATAACAGTCTTTTTCACTTTTTCGATTTTTACATTTTTATGGGTGTTTCAGTTCATATCAAATAAAATTGACCTGTTTTTTCTCTTTTTTAAGGAATCAAAATTGCTGCTTCCATCATTAACGATATGCCCTAAAGATGCTGACGCTTTCGATGGCTACAAAGTTATCAAAGAAATTCAGCAAACTGTACCTGATGTTGACGAAGATACTGCCTTTGCTGTAATAGAATTTATGGTAGCCGGTTATGGTTTTGGAAATATGGAACAAAGTTAGAATATAGACTGTATATCAGAATAAACTCTTATCACATATCGTAAATATTTGGCAGATGGTTAATTTCTATCTCTGAAAAGACTAATCCTCTTACTTATTAATTAGCAAACTGATGCTAATTTCCAGAAGTTACAAGTTGGACCAGCAGTGAAATTCACAATTTATCATCAATTTTCGATCAGTGGCGGGGTAATCGATCATTGGTCGAAATTTTCATCAAAATTTTCGAAACTGACGGTTATAAATGTCAAGATGTGATTAAAAACTTATTTTGTTCTTTCAATATTTACTTCTGACATTCAAAGATCATAAATATGTCGTTAAGGTGCAAAAACTGGTAAGAATATATAAGAACAAATGCAAATGACTGCTAAGAAAACATTTCTTATTTTCTTTAAGAATACATTTTTTACTTTTTATTGTGTGCCAAATTACTAAGCTGGTGTATCAAAAAGAAAATAATTTCAACCATTAACTTATTTTGCTGCATTAATTATTCATTAAGTAGTAACTTATTTGCAAGAGAATACAATGCATTTCTCAAGATACTGCGCTGTCATTTACATTAAGAAATGGGTCCATTCATATAACAGCAGTTCACTTTTAGATTATGGAGAGTTGTATACTTGAAAGCCAGAAAGTTCCGTGCTGTGATCTGATGGAATCTGTATATGTATTAATTCGTGGACGGTGTTTTCGATTGAAGCCACTTAATCAAACAACTACCATCTCACCTGCTCTGACTATTGCAATTCGCTCGATTCCCAGTTACTTTTCCAATCAAGGTGGATGGCAGGTTAAAAGAAAATCTTTGACACGAAGTATGATTCAAGAAAGAAAGTAATAGGAATCACTGATTTACGATTGAGGATATGAGTGAATAATAACTATCACATTATTATTTGAAATCTTGCACTGAATTAACAAAATTATACTATATATCGTGTGCATTTGTAAATCAAACGGCCAGCGAATGTGCAATTGCAACGTACTTGCAAGACTGTGAAATATATTTTTTTAGTAGCCAGGTATTTGCGTAAATGTTCGGCTGATGGTTGATATTGAAGTAGCTGATTTCTCGATAAGATAAACTGCTTAGTGAGTAACGTACAGAAACCCTCGCATTTCACTTTTTAGGCTCTATTGGTATCGTATGTGTCAGATTACACACCTTACGTGCCAATATATCCAAGATATTACATAAATGAAGATGAATGGACAACGATGATTTTCCATTCGCGGAAAATTGAAATGCTACCAAACAGCAAACATTGTATAGCAGATGATGGATTTGAAAGTATCAGCATAATTATTTTTCGACAAATTTTGGATAGCTTTAAAGAATCTATATATAATTCCAGATGTAATCAATGCTAATTTTTATTTAATTTTTTGCAGATAAATCGTTGAAGACTTAAAAATCCTTTTGCTAACTATTAAACTTGATACGTTTTTTGCAGTTGACTTTGCTAAAAAATAAAAAGTAAAATCATATATTACAGGTCGAGGAGCCTGTTTTATAAAGCAGTGGCTGAGAAATATTATAATAAAACCTTACAATTGTACCTTGGCATATTTACAGGTATCAAATGCATAATGAGTGATTAGTGCTAAAAATGCTGATATCATTAACATATTATGTACTTTGAATAAAGAAAGTAGTTCATAACAATTAGAAACCAAGCTTCTTTTGAATGAGTTGTTTTTGGAAAGAATAAGTTTCATCTTAAAAATATGGCAATTATTTGCAGAGCTTTGCTCAAAACTTGTCAGTATGTCATCCAAAAGTGGTTGTTCAGAATTATTTTCAAGCAATGTCATCAAAAATAAGTAATTTTCGGGTAAGAATTTGTTGCGTGTTACACCTGTGTGTTGTTATCCAATTCTTATTTTATTTTTTGGTATTTTGATGGCAAAATAACTTCACAGGCAAAATTCCATGAGCACGAAATGTGCTCAATCTAATCAAAGATGATAACTTTTAAACAAAAAGGCTTTGCTAACTTTTTACTATTTTTTTTTCACACATCCATTACGTGCAAAGAATACTTTTCATTCAGATTTTTTAGTGCTTACCTGAATGTAATCGGAAAGATTTGATTATACAAAAGTATTCATCACCAATTATTCATGCATCTGATAGAAATAATACCAAATATTTGATTGAAATGTCGCATCTCGAACTGCAGGTGATATTATCTATTATTATATTTAAAGTTTTTGTCTGAAATCGTTAAAAAATGTGTAATATTATTATGTTTTAGTTGTGGCATTAAAAAGTCATGGTCTTTGAGTACAAAATCGTTCTAAAAAATTTGGGAATTTCCTATCTTGTTCTACTCTGTTGAATAAATGAATATTCATAAGATTATCATTTTAAACGTTACAGTATGAGTTGTACAAGGAAGTGACGCAGACAACGATACCTGGGTTTATTTCACAAATAGGCGGACAGTTTGGTTTATTTCTTGGAGTTTCCTTCATTACCGTATTGAAAATTATTGTAGAGGCAACAAAACTAACATATCAAGCATGGCATACTGTAAGGTTGCAAAACGAATAGCTTTTGTCAAATTTCTTTTTCCTGTTTTAAAGGCATTCATTTCCCTATTAAGAAGATAATTTTTGTGCTTTACTGAAAGGACTTGCAGCATACATAATAAATGATTCTAAGAACATAATAATTATAGTTGCTTTTGTTTTCTTAATATTTGATTATTTATCTTGAATGTATCCTTTCTGTTTACAAAGTATGCAGTGATTTTGTTGTGTTTGTAAGACGTTGAATGTGAATTATTGCCATCTTCAACCGAAAGAAGCATGGTAAAACGATTTTGAGCTTAATTACGTAGAAAATTTTCTTGTTGATCATCATTATTTAACGCTATCATTTTTTGATTTTCAGCTGAAAAGACTGACCAAAAATTGTTCTTATTTTTAAGTGTTTTCGTCTGCATCTAACTATTTCATGGCACCCATTTGTTTTTTAATTCTAAAAGATGTAATAGACTAAAAACATATTTTATAATTGGATGAAAAACCGTTTCAGTAAACGTAGACTTAAGACAGATTCCTAAGTTTAAATTAGTTTAATAAAGTCAAAAAGTAAAGAAGAGAAAGTATTTACTGTTTAGAAAACCGGCTCTATGTTTATTTTTTTAATTATTGCAATGATATGAAGGTTAGTCGATTGCATATGATAAGCATCAAGATCATCTTTCGAGAAGCATATCAGAAGCCAAAAAAAAGCCAAAGGATTCTGCTCATTACTACTGGAGTACTTGAGCAAACTAAACTGTGAGCTTGATTCTGTACTGTTATTTTACCTAATAAATATATAAAAGTGCGCCTCTTTTCTCATCTTTCTTTTCAGATAGCATCCATTAAAAGAGTCAGAAGTGTTTTCTAGCATAAACTTGATGAAAGATTCAGCCTTGCGCTGAAACTAACAATACCTTTACTCCGTCTCATACCATCACTACAGCAAATCAATAGTAGTTGTGAACGCTATACTAAAAATGCAAGTTGAAATTAAAATAATAAAATAAAAACTGACATATAACTCCTTTTCTCACAGTTCTCCTTGTGTTATGTAACGAAAAAAGATAAAAGGAAGCTAGCTCTTAATTGCTGAATAGTGTGAGGCAGTCTTTTTCCTTCCTTTTCCTTTCAAATATGGTCTGAAATATGGAAAGAAAAACTAAGATTTCTTCTTCGAAGAAGATTTATGATGTGAAAGATAATTTTTGTTGCATCATATCCATATTTAGCTGCCCTGTGTTCTCGTATTTTAGAAGCTTTTTTAAGCCTAAGCCTGTCGCCTTTTCACCTAAGTGCAGAATAATACCATCATATTCACGTTTCTGATCGCTGAAAATAAAGAAACAAATTCAGGAATGTTTGAAACATCTATTCTGGATTGTCACAGTTACTACTGGTATGAAGCTAAAATAAGAATGAATAAATTTTTCATTAAAATATTTTGCTTTTTATTTTAATGTTATAATTAGTAGAATTAAATGTAACTATAAATAGATAACGAAGGTTTCATCCTTTCACGTCATGAATGTATTGCTGTGCATTTTAAAATCAATATATAGCACGAAGCATGTGCGTAGGACTTATTAATGCTTACAAAAGTCATTTTAATTCTAAGATTCATGCGTTTTCTGTTTATCAGCTGTTATCATTGATATTATTTGAGGAAGTACAGTTATGAAAATGCTCACATGGACAAAACATTCATTTGTTTTCCATCACTTGTTCTTCATTGAAATTTTAACAATCTCGTCTGTTATTATATCGTTTGTGAAGTGAAATGGGCAATAAATTCTACTTTTTACTATTGTTTGCTTTTGAAGTTGCCAGGAATGTTCATAAACATATCCCAATTTAGAACTGTATGCGAAAAAAGCTTTTATAAAAGGTTCTTGCATTATTCTATGTTTCATTAGACCTTTTTGTCTTCCATTCTTTTTCTTATTCGTGTTGAAGAATTATAAAAAATTTATTATAAAAGGCATACATTTTCAAAGACTGAATATCAGAGGTACATAGACATGAAAACGCACACACACACGCGTATATTTTGAAGTTTTATTCACGAGGTGAATTCTAGTTGAAAAGAAAAATGTACTGCATTCTTTGAAGACGAATTTTCATAAATTTATGAAAGCAAGCCTCTTTTTTCCTGATATTCGTTTACACCTTTTTATTTGTCAATGAAAGAAAAAATTTAATACATATACTTAATTGTTTTATCAATTCTTCACTACGGCATACATTTTACTGATGCTTGATGATGAAGAACAACCGTGGCACCTATCTTTTCCTTTTTCTCCCATTTTTCAGCTTTACTGATTTGTTCCAAGAACTTTTGCTATTATCTATATTTCTTGTTTTCGATTCTTACTTCCCTAATAAGCTGAGTTTTTGTTTCACAACCAACTATTCATAAAATATATATTTCCAAAACATCTTTGTCTAATATTGATCGCTTTTTCTAAGCTATTAAAATCATCTTAAAACTTTTGTTACTTATCATACCAACTTTACCCTGGTATTAACTAGGTTTTTTTAAATAAATTCCATGAAAAATAACAAAAAAGAGATTGTAATCTCCATTGGCTTCTTGAAAACTAGAGGTTCTCACTTTTAAAATAGAAGTATTATATATCACATTAATGCAACTGCCTATTGCCGAAGACTATACTCAATTAAAATTTCTGAGTAAAATTTCTGAATTTCACAGCATTCTTCACATTGGTGATGTTCGTTATCAAGTTCTTAAAATGCGTGCATCAGAGATTAAGCATGTAAGTGGTTTTCATTTGCAGATAAAAAATAAAATAGCAAGAAAAAAACTTGGAAACGAAGGCAAAATTGAAAAAGAAAAACGATATCATTCAAACGAATGGGCAAAAGAATTCAGGGAGTGAGGAATCAATTTCATGTGGTATAATCTTCAGATTAAAAATTTTTTTCGTCTGCGATTTCTACTTCATATCGTAATTCATCTTTCACTTATCTTCTTTTCACTTACTTATGGTTTTATTTTAATCCAATATAATTACTTCTAAAAGTTATGCTGTGAATATTTTTCATAACCGACTTTTTTCTGTGCTGAGAACATTAATTATAAATTGCAATAAGGAAGCATTTTAAATAATTTTGTCATCAATTTCGCTTTGCAAGTCCTTAAACCGCATAACTTTTAAAAATATTTTTAATGCTGTAGAATTCTTAAAACTATAAAAGTCCTAGCTGAATTTCAGAAGTCTACAGCACATTTTCATATGCTTTAATTGTTAATTCTTTGTTACTGAAAGTTGGGAAACAATAAATACCAAACCAACAAAAATTTCATGTGACTAAGAAATACATTTTACCATTAGAAAAATATTGATTTTAACAACATTGATTAATTCCTATAGGTGGTGACCTAATTAGTTCTATTTTTTACAATAAGGGAAATAGATACTACTGAGATGGTTTTCTGGTTTAATTCCATTTGACTTCAACTTTCTGATGTTGCACTGACCAAATGAATTCTGATCACAGTCGTAATATATTTGTTAACTTTGATAGCTTAAATCGTTTGCATCTCTCTACCATTTTATCAGTCAGGTTATTGCTAATCAATCACTACACAGTAAAGTTTGTTCAAGTTTGCTTGAATTTTTGAAACTAAAAACATTTTAAAAAAATTTCCAAATATAGTAAAGAAATCACCATCATTTCCTTACAAATCTGTGACTACTCAATTTCATTCGTCCAAATTCCGATCGATGACATTTATTATTATTGTAGTGAAACTGGCTTACAAACGGAGCTCAATTTTGGAAAGTCTTTTGTACTATCAGTCCTGAAAGTCTTCATCAAAAATGTAGCTAACTTTTCTGAAGTACATTTTATACTTAATTCTAATCCCCAAATTTTGATTGAAAGCAGAAGTAAGTTTGCAAATTATAGCACTTCGTTTATTATTTTGTTATGATATCTTAATTGGAAATTCTGAATGACTTTCGTACCAAATTATTTGTGAAAATGCTTTTTTTTTTATAAATCCCAATTTTAGCAAAGTTTTGACGTTCACTTGCTAATGAAGATTGAACGCTGCTTTATTTATCATCCAAGAACACCAGCATAAAATTCATTCTGCTTTCTTCCGTGTATTTGGTGGCTTCATATGTAAACTTTATTTTGTGACTTTTATGTCCACCTCAAGTTCCATTTGTTAATACAAGTATAATTAGCATTTACAATTTACTTTTTTGAAGTTGGCTTGTTAAAAATTCATTCAAAAATTTAATCTGCGATCATTTTTTCGTATTAAATTTATTTTATCCTACCTTTTCTAGAACTTATTGCAACAATTTATCTTTCATAAAATAGCAAGTAATATATAAATGCTGAAGATGAGATCATGTCGGACTCCAATTTTAAATCCTAGTTCAATATCATGCTCATGAAATATTTTACTTTTGAAATGATCGTTGCCACCCCTTTATACTGCGATATTCACATGCTCTGAAGATGTAAAATGAAAATGTACCACCATTATATTGCTATAAGAATAATAACTAGAAGAAATCTGAACTTTTGACCGATTACTACAAATATCATATTTATTGTAACTTTTTGACTCATTGAGCCAAGCAGTTTTTCTAACAGTTAGATCAAGCTATAGATTGGCAACAATTTTATAACGAGAAACTTTCCAAATTATCCAAATGCTATTTGAACAAGTTCCTTTATGCTTCTCCTTGACTGATCAACAAAAAACTGAATCAAAAGCGCAAAAAAATCTCCTAATGATTTCTTTCTATATCAATTAAAGGAATCTTTTGTGTTTTCACATTCAACTTTTCCATCCTATGATATTCAAAATATTCGCCTAAACTTATCATGAATACTTGTCAGACCTATTATCCAAATATAAAAAATAATGGCAATTATCAAAACAACGTCTTATCTATGTTTCCATAGTTGGATGATGCTTCTTCTTAACATTTTTTTTGGCCTGTCTCTGAGTATGTAAAACTAATTATGAAGTAGTCCTTTAAAGTCGTGATATATCGTACCACACCACATTTTTTTGATTCCAACTTTTTACTGCCAAGTTTAAAAACTTGTCTGGCACAAGTAGATAATTACTTGAGAAGCAGTGCTAGTAATAGAGAATCACGATACTAATATTATTCACTGATAGTAACTTCTTACCAGACCTTTGAATAAAAATTTTCAATTATTCATGTAAAGATTAAAATAAATGTGTCTACAATGGTAATTTGTATTTGTTAATATATTTCTTTTTTACTTGTGTGATGGCTAAGCGACAAAAATTCTGCAAATAGTGCAGTAAACTAAGATTTTGTCTGTCAATTGATATGCTGAAAAGTTTGAAAGTTTTATTTTAAGGTCGTACCATACATATTTCATACTGGGATGATTATTACTATTGCTCTGTATGTTTTTGCTGGTGCATTGGCAATACGAAGAATTGAAGCTGTAGTAATACAAAAAAATTCAACGGTTTATATTCTTAACTATAACTTGATTTGAATTTTAATCACCTAAAAGATAAACTATAGCAACTTAATTATGTACAACTATAAATTTTGCTATAGAATAAACAATTTGTAAATAGCGGTAGAACAAATATAATTGAGTTGCAGGATATGGGCAGACATACTTTTATAAACAATGGTGGTATGCGTCATAAAATTAATTCTGTGCACTATGACGAGCAAGAACAGTGTATGTTTCCAAAATACTCTTCCAGAGAATTTTTTTGTTGTTGTATTAAACGTAATATCATGAATGGTTTCATTGTTTTTCTGCGAATCAAGTTCTATGAGGGTTGTGATAATAGATGTAACCAATTTATTTAGGGATTAAAGTGGATTCTAACTTTAATGTTGTAGAAAAAATTAATTTGTTTAATTTTCAAAACTAAAATCACAAAAGACAATGGTATTGATTGTTCAAGCATAAGTAATTAGTACTAAACACTGGTTGATATTCTGTAGCATAGACCTATCTTAAAAGATTATGATTGTGGCCATGGAGGATCATGCAAGTTAGCGAAAAAGGGAATTAGAAGAATATGACTAAAGTTCTTTACTCTAATTTAAGCAATTAAATTCATTTCTTCGCTTAAAAACATTACTAAAGCTTTGTGTATTTTAAACTTCACAAACAACAACACTACTGCTCAGAGCAGGAGGTTAGAATAAACTGGTTTAGCACTGATTTCATGTCTTTACTGGAAGCAGAAAAGTAAACTGAAAAAGTGTGTTTTCAAAAATTTCTTCAACTTATTTATACAAAAGTTGATAAGGAACAGCTTTACAACTCATTTGAACGGAATCAGTAGCTTATTAATTTCAGATGTTTCATATGAAAATTACGAATACATGAAGTTGTTAGATAGAGAAATACTGAATTTCAGCTGAATTGAGAATCAACTGATGTTTTATCAATCACTTTCTTAACCAAGCCTTCGGGATAGTTATAAGTTGAATTATTAAAAATTTAAATTTCGGAAATGTTCAGTGCGATACAAAATGAGGTGTGTAATGAACACTTTGAAACAAAGCAAGAACGCCAATGCATGCGATGAAAATTACGTAGCAGTGTTGACTAATGATGTTTATATCAAGTGTTTTCGTCAAGGAAATTACGAATACGGTAAGAGCAGTTATTATGCTTCATCACTTTCTATTGGTCAGTATTCTTATATTCGTATATTTTAGCCTAGTTTTGCAACCATTAATTACCAATTTTAGATTACGATTAAAAGAGTTATTCTAAAAACATGCACTGTTAAGATCTCAAAATCTTGAATCTAATTTAAAATTCTCATGACTCTATGATTGGAAATGAAGAAATTTGAGTCCATTTTCAAAGTTGGTCTGAGTTATCAAAACTTATATTGAATTTTCCAGCGTCAAATATATTTGCTAGATTTTGATATTATCAAAATCAAATCTTATTACTTTATTGAAGATATTGGCAATACCAATGATTCTGAATATTTGTATTGGTCAATCATGGATTCGGTAGTTTTTTGTTTCACCATAATCACAACTATAGGTAAGCACAACTCATGACTCTACTATATAAAAAAATCGATGAGTGCAAGTATTTCATGCTTGTTATGCCTAAAAATGCGACTCCAGTGTACCGAAAAACGTTCTTCTGCCCCAAAGATTACATATTGCAAATTTTAACAATCGAAGTAAACCTAATGATGCGTTTTGCTTTTGAAATTAGTATCAGTACTGTGGCTATATGCATTGCACAGTTTTTATTCACTAAATTTTTGCAGGATATGGAAATGTGGCCCCGAAAACAATGGAAGGCAGACTTTTCGTTATAGCATATAGTATATTCGGCTTGCCCTTTACAATGCTAACCATTGCTAGTTTGGGTAAATTTATAACTGGAAACTTAACGAATATCACGAAATTGGTAACTAAAATCAAGTAATTTTTCTGATCTCAAAAACAACAATTGAAGAGACACCAGCAAGTTTCACTTATATATTACATATAGCACAAAAGAAACAAGAATTCGTGGTTGGCATCAAATATTTTATAATTACAAGATGGAGAATAGTGATAAAAGATTTGTCCATCTCAGTGTATTGAGTTTTTGAACTGGAATACTTTTTCTATCTTAAACACAAAAATCTTTGAAATACGCAGTCGAACTCCTTGCAGTCGTTTTTGGTAGCAAAGGTACGTAAAATCTGATCGCTCAATTTTATTTTCAGTGCTAAGTAACTTGGATTTATTGAAGATGATTATAATTATGAAAGAGAAAAGTAATTAAGCTCATCAATATCAATCAATCAATCATTAATTATCCATTATCACACTGAGATTAATTTTCCTTTCTGCGTTAATGAATCTGGTGTTAAATCGTATCCTGGCGCTTTCTCTCAGTTTCGACTGCTGTTAACTTGTCTTGACTGGTGATACCAACCTCTATTAGAATTACTTCACGTCGCTTCTTATCGTGTATCATGAAATCTGCTTGATCCGCACTTATTTTTATAATTGTTCTTATTCGCTTATCGACTCTAATCTCCGTGCTTTCCCTCGCTATTCGCGATGATCTTATGAACAGAATGGTTTCGCAAGTGGGGAATGCTTTCAGACCATACTTCTTACAGAGTCTAAAGTGGATGCATCGTAGGACCTCACTATGTTTTCTAGTATAATCATGATGTAACATTTTTC